GACTGCCAGTTTGTTACTGTTTTATTGATGCAGGAAGGTTAAATAGTACTTATAATTTTGGTCTGGGGAACTTCCTTTTTTTCTTTTTCCTATATTTTTAAAAACAGGTGGGTTGGTCAGGGTCTGTGAGGAAAGTTACCTTTCCTCAACATACATGTAAAACTAAAATATTTGAATTGAAGAATAATTTTAGTGCACTGGAAAAGATAAGAGGAAAAGTTGCCGTGTAATCCATATATATTGGGGTTTTTCCCCCCGTTAAGTATGTTAAAAACTTTGTTCTAGGTTCGTCTGACTCATGAAATCAGACACAAGAATATAGTGGCATTTCATGAATGGTATGAAACAAGCAACCATCTCTGGCTTGTAGTGGAGTTATGCACAGGTAAGATAAGCTCAAAAGATAAAAATATATAGAGTGAGTATTTGTAAGAGTTTTTTATAATAGTTTCTCCACAACAAATACTTAGATCTTTGAAAAAGCTGATTATAATTTTGAGAATCCTATTTATATATAAAAAATATTTTGCTTTTGGAAACATGTTTAGAAATCATTTGAGGTCATATTTCTCCCCTGCTTCACTGTATATGTGTGTATACATTAATTGATATGACATAATGTTGGTTTTTAATAGCTGAAAAGGTAGGGCTAATCAGGGAAACTTAACAAATTGTGAGTAGTTGCAGGGTAGCTAAGTAAAAATTACTTGAGAAAAGTTTTCTAAGGACTGGCAGCTTTGGCATTCTCTTTTTATTTTATAGCACGCAATAAAGAGAGCAAGGAGCAAATCAAGTTATAATATACAAATAGTTTAATATAACTCAAATAAATTTTTAAATCAAAGGGCAATTCTGTAGGTAGTAGTAAATTATGTAAGTTTTCTTCCTATTCAGAAGAAGTATTTTGCCTTTTAAGTTAACACATTAATTTTGGAGCTCTGAGAACCCAAAACTGGATGAAGTGATTCACTGAGTTTTGATAGGTTCTCATCAATCTGTTAAAGAAATCTTTTAAAGCTTTCTCTAATTGTGATGACTGCGTGTTTTAAACTCCAGATAGCAGGCTTTACTCCACATGGAAAGAAAAGAAGGCCAATTGTGCAAGTGATACATGCTAAGATTTTGGCATCTGGAATTTGTTTCATAGTAAAATTCCATATTACACACAGCCTTTTTTTCTTTCCAGAATCCTATTTCAAAAATTAGTGAAGAAGAGAAGCTACAAGTTCTGGAAAAAAAATCAGCTCATTCTTTTATCTGCATGATTTGGCTAAGAAATAATAGATAACCCAGGAAACCCATAGATAATTCACAAAATACAAACTAATCTCAGGGGAACAGGTTTGGTAGGAGTAGTAAAGGACCAGATGAGGTTGAGGAAAGGGATTTTGGGAGAGATGTGAATGTGGAGTTTCAGATAGGAGACTGGGACAGGAAGGAGAAGAAAGACTGAGCAGTGAGTTTGTGGGAAATGAGATTAGGAGAAGTCCAAGTCCTATGAACAGTTAGGAGGGGAATAGCTCAAACGGGATGAGTCTGGTGACGTACCTGAGAATCAGTGGGATGTGAGGAAGTAGATGAGGGGGGAAGAAGAGAGATTTTTACAAAGACAGAGAAACAGTAATGATCAGTGGGGGAAAGCATAGAGAGGGAATGTGAAGCCCAGGGAAGGACACAAGTGACAGAGGATATATGTGAGGGATAATTGGAAGGCTTTGTGTGTAATCTCATCAGAAACAGAGGAAGGGTTGGTTGTAATTTAGTGGAGAAAGGAGCCTGGTGTTTTTGGAAGGATAGAGAAGGTTCTCATGTTAGGATGGGAAGTTCAGAGAGATAAGAGTAGGACTTGCTGGGCCAGGAAGCTGGGATTTGTGTGAGAAACCTGGAAAGTAAAAGTTTAGTTCTGGGTATTTTTGTTTTGTTTTGTTTTTTAAAATTCTTTTTTCTTAAAAAAAAAGAAAGAGAGAGGAAAGGATGAAAATTAAATAATTGGGGTACATGAGTCAAGAAAAGGACTGCAGAAATACTATGTGAGAAGAACAAACAAAATAATTTATTGTTGTATGTTGTTGACCTCAGGACCCCAGAATAAAATGCAGTTTTACTGTTTCTGTTGTCTGTGAATTCAGTGGAAAATTGCATGTCATTAGCTTTAGCACTTGTTCACAGAAGTTGATAACTTGTTCTTCGTATTGTTTATTCTTTTAACTCAGGCAGCAGGGATCTAGTTAAGGAATTTGAATAAACCCATTGGGTACTATTACACTGTGAGGTGACACAGTGTTGGGGTTTCTTTTTTCCCTTCTGTTTCCTTTGTAAAATAAATAAATATTGAAGTAATTTTGAAGTCATGCACTCAAATTTAATTCTAGTCCAAATTTAAGATTTTTTTGTCATGGTATTGGAAATAGATTTTTTTTTTCTGTACGTCATGGATTTTGTAACTATTAGATAATCTCAAGAAATATTTTTAGTATCTACTGATAATGATTTTTGCTTGACATCCTTTGAAGAAGCTTATATAATGTCCTTGGGAATTATTTGTACGGCATCATCTTTATATGCACTTGCTGACTATGTGTAAACGTATTTCAGGTGGTTCTCTAGAATCTGTTATTGCTCAAGATGAACATCTACCTGAAGATGTAGTGAGAGAATTTGGTGTTGATTTGCTTAATGGTCTATACCATATACATAAGCTTGGAATTATCTTTTGTGAACTGACGCCTGGAAAGGTAAGGAGTATTATTTGTAGGGGATGCTGTGTGTGACTTTGTATGGCATCGGTATGTAATTCATTATTTCCATTGTAATGTTTGGACGAGGCTTACCTCAGGTTGGAGGCCAGTTGAGCTTTATAATCTATATGAAGACAATGAGAGACAAGGCTATAGCTTGAATATCTTAAGAACTAATTGATTTCTTTCCCTGTTGTATATTTCATACAATGTGATAGATTCTTTTTGATTTGGTCTACTGGTTTGAATTAATGAAGAATTTTAGTTCTCTCTCTTCAGACATACAACTTCATTAATTATACCTATTCTATCGTGCTGCAGAATATTTTGAAGTCATAGAAAATGCTAATGAGGGAGTAAAGTTAACTAAACTTTTTTGTTAATAACCTTCTCTGTTGTTTCCAAAAGCCATTTAAATTATCTTCTTACTCTTAAATAAAAATACAAATCTTCATGCAGTTTCTGATTTTGCATATGTGTGTGGAAATCATGGATAGTTTTGTCAAACTCTAGAATATAGCTATATCCAAAAAATCCTTGCTTAACACGACTTGGTTTTGGTCTTGACCTATAAGTGATCAAGTTGCCCTTCTCTGAATTTTCTGTAAAATCTTGCACAATTATACTCAGCTTCTGTCATTTGTGGGTCCAAAAGCACTAAAAAAATATAGGAATAAAGCATAATGGAGACGTGTCTGTATTCTTCCAAAGAAGAATGTTGCTGTAAAGTACTCCTTTGGACACAGAGCACTAAAGTAAGACTGCTTTTTTTTTTTTTTTTTTTGTTCCCCCTTCCCCAACTGAATGGGGCTATTTCTCCAAACAACATTTTTAGGATTATGAAGCTTTTAATTACAAGAATAAGCAGGAACCACATAGAGAAAATTCTCATCATCATTGGACAAAATCTTTGGAATTTTCTGCTAAATAAATTTTGAAAGAGTCACCTTTTTTTTTTTTCCCCTCAAATGAAGCAATGTTTTTTTTTTTTTACTATGCTTTTGTTTTCCTGTACGGTTTTACTCTACTTTCACTGTCTTTTCTATAGTGACATCACTGTTCATTTAGATTTAATAACAAGTAAAAAGTGCACATTATACCTCTTAAGGGTTCTATTGTGAGATTCTGTAATTTTTTGGTTATAAGAAAAAAGACAGTATTGGTGTGGACTTCAAAGGAAAACTTTTCAGTGTTTTCAGTTATAGTCATCATCTCTATGGAGTTAAATGGTTTGAGATTGTGATTTTTTTTTTTTTAATATATGAATTATTTTATACTTTGTGTTGGAAATTTCAGCAGTCATCATTTTTAGTATATGATACTTGTATGTTGCATTACATTTATTCTTCTAGATTCTGCTGGAAGGGCCTGGCAATTTGAAATTCAGTAATTTTTGCTTGGCTAAAGTGGATGGTGAAAACTTGGAAGAATTTTTTGCTTTAGTTGGATCTGAAGAAGGTGAAGGAGATGTCAGTGAAAGCACTCCACAAAGATACCTGAAAAATAGATTTCGAGGTATGATATTTTTACTAGCCAAAATTAACTTTTACCAAAGGGGTAGAATGAAAGTTGGAAAAAGGCTTTGTTTGAAGTAATTTGGAGAGAAGACCTTGAAATAAAATAGTTGATTATTGGTCTGTTGAGGTTGACTAAATTTCTAGAGAAACTGAATAATTAATTCTGTTGTGTTATCATTTGTAAGGATGAATGTGTTTCCCTGTGTCTTTGCAATGGAAAGCGTGATCCATACATTTTCTTTAAGCAGGTTTAACATATCCTGCATATGCGAATTTTTTAAGTAAACTCAACCCCAAAATTTAGCTCTTAAAGACTGTTTTAGAGAGATCATAACTTACAGAGGGAACAACTCTGCAAGTGCAACTGCAAGTGAACAGAAAGAAAAGAAACAAATAGAAAGAAAAACAAATTTACAAATAGGTGGTAATAATTCTAAGTTTTACAAAGCCAGTTTAACTAAGAGCTGGAAAAAAATATACTTTGTTATAAAATGTGTGACAGATTAACAATCCCTCACTTTTCCTGCTTTTTGTTATTTTTGGATTGAAGCTCATATGTAGGTGATTTGTTACAGAAGTATACTACAGTCTATAACTTTCAACATAAGATAATTGGAGGTGGCTTTTTTTAAATTTCCTTTTGGAGCTTGAGATCAAACCCCTACAGTACAGTTTAATTTACAAACTGTCTGTCCATCCTGAGAATGTTTTAATTATTTATAAACTGTTCTTGGGGGTTCTTTTGTAGAAAAAAAATAGAAGCAAAATTTCAAGAATTAAAAGAAACCAACCCCCAAAACAAAAAACAAAACCCCAAATTAAGTATATGAATGAGATCTGAAATGTTTCAAGGTAGCTAATTAATTAAAAGTATTAATTCTTGGTTTGGATTTGCCGAAGAGGCTGAATTATTAATTGCTATTTGATGAAAACTATGGTGGGAAGAAAAATCCTGTGAAATACCTTTGGTCCTTCATGCATTTCACATATTATCAACTAAGTACAAGTAGTAGAATTAGAAGAATGGGAAGAACACTAAAACTTTGGAAGTTCAGAGTTCAGACTGGGACTGGCTTTCCTAATAGATGAAATTATATTTCTGATATTTAGTTGATATAGGACAATGTGTTTTTTAAAAAAAAGGTTTAAAGGAAGTGATAAAAAGAATCATTTATTTAAAACTTTTTGTGCTCCAGTTATAAAGTAGTAATTGGAGAATGAGGAAATAACTGATATTGGAAGTATGATAAAGAAAATAAGTCATTTAAAATGAATCCTGTTTTGTCTCAGAAAAATTTGAGCTATGGAATTATTTATGGACTTTTTAAAAGTCTGTGCTGCAGATGTTGACTGTAAGGTCTAGGACTAAATTCTGTTAGCTTCACATTAAATTTATACACAAAATTCAGTAAGTACTATGCAGAACTGCTGCTTCTTTCACTGGAGACTTTGTACTGCTGTACTTTCATTGTCCTTTTTGATGCAAAAGGTCCAAGTGATTTCTAGTTTGAGGCTCAACTGTTTCTGTACTTCTTACTTAAGAGTAATCATTTGTTTTTAAAGTATGAGAAAGTTACTGTGCTTTAGTTTCAACAGGCAGATCCATGCAAATGCAGTAGGCTGCAAATACTGTTTGTTGTTTTTTTTTTTTCACTGAATAGGAAAAATTCAGAATCTTGGTTTTAATCTCCTGAAACTTTTATTAGTCAGCATCTCAGAACATCTCACAGACCTCTCTTTCCAAGATAATGATGCGTCATAGCAGTTACTGTTATTGGGAACAACGGAATTCTTAGATACTAAGACCAAGACCAGATCTTTATTCAGGAAGAAATATAAATCTAATCTCTTTCCTGTTGCCTTTCAGAACAGCTGTTTTGATGTGTATGGTTAATGACCTTTTGCCACTTGAAAAAATAAAACCCTAGAACAAAAGAATCCCAAATAAGCTTTTTCAAAGGACTATGGAATTAACATTTTTGCTGAGTTTGTAATTTTTTAGAGATTTTTGAGAACCAAATTAGTGTTTAGATGGGAACTACTGCAGAAATAGGACCTATATATTTCTCTTTCTATGTTAAGACAAAAGGGGTTTGTGAATAAGCTGCTGTAATTTGATACGTGATGTTTTCATAGTGTTTTAGTGTGAAAATAGTTATAATTAGTTTAGATCAGTGATCCAGCTGGCTAACTACCTTGTTTTTGTAACAGAGTTTTCTAATTTTATGAAGGAATATGTCTCAGGATAGCTTTTTCAAAACCAAACAAACCTGATGTAACATAATTATTTCTGTTACTCACATGAGAATTATGTTGGTTTACCACTCTGCTCAATTTGCTTGGCTCTGGAAGATGTCAAGGTATATCAAAGCATACTTGGCATTAATCACTATGTTAGAAAAGTGTAGCACAAGCCAGCTTGGTTAATAGTCATGAAGTAAACAACTAAATAGCATATATAATCCTACATAATTCACTAAAAGCATAGGAGAGAAATTCCTTTGAAACTACTTACTTTTTGTATCTGTTTTCTTATCCGAAGTGAAGATAATCCCTAACTCACTGAAGCGTGGAGACAAAGTTTGAAATGTTGAACAGAATAAATGATGAATTTATAATGAAAGTGCTGTACACATGCTGTATTTTGTAGGTTCTCCGTTATACACAGCTCCAGAAGCAATAAAGGGTGAAGACTTCTCCAAAGCCAGTGATCTGTGGTCCTTGGGATGTTTACTTTATGAAATGTTCTCAGGTTGTAAGTTTGTGTATCTATTTAATATCTGTGATAATGGAAACATAGGTCGTGGTCCCAGAGTAAATTCTTATTAACTTTCTAGTGAAGTTACGACATAGAAAAACTTAAAACAGGTTTTAAAGATTTGTTGAAGAATATACCAAATGTACTTTTTTTTTTTTTAAAAAAAAAGGGAGTTTATCAAATAAACAAGTGAAGTAATACTATTAAGTTGTCCTCTTGATTGTGATACTAACCAACCTGTATTGCTTAAATACTGTGATTTAAAATTATAGCAGTCCTTGAATTCTGACAGAGTAATGTTTTTAATCTCCTCAATATTAAACTCTGGGTGCATTAGTTTGACCTTTGAAAGAGAAAGTATAAAACTAGAGTCAGTGGGTTTCCTGCAGATAAAGTACCTGCTAGCATTGCCTGCAGCTGGAAGGAAAGTTTCATCACAAAAGAGAATTACAGTACAACCTGGTGAAATCTTAAACGATATGCTGGTCTATTGAATCAACATAGTTACATAGATACTGATATTTCTGCCTAGACCTTCTCCTGTTGTTGTCACCTTGCTGATTCATACAGGGCTATCATGGTGACCTCCATCGAGCCATCTTTGGTGCCTGTTCTGTCATTTTGCTGGTCTCTTTTGCTGTTCATGGTAGAAGAATTTAATCCAAGGTTTTGTATTTAAATTGACAAGAGAACTTGATAAATAGAATTTGGACTGAGGGTGCTTATTTCTTCTTAAGAAAATAAGCTCGTCATATATCATTGCACCTGACAGCCATTTTGAAGTTTGCCTAACCTGTGAAATACACTTCTGTTTGTTTGTAGGAAGACCACCATTCTTCTCAGACAGCTTTTCTGAATTAATTGAAAAGATTTTATATGAAGATCCATTGCCACCTAGACCAGAGGGTAACATTCTGTTATTGTTTAATGAATCAAATCAGAGTAATACTTACAAAGTTTCGTTTTGCAGTGTTTCTTCTGAGCTGATAGCAGGAATCAGTTAGCTGTCCAAAATGAATGTTAGCATTACCTTCCATTGATAAAACTTTTTCCCTGTTAATGATGAATGCTTATTTACCTTTTGAGAGACAGGCATATAATTTGGTGTTAAGAATGAAAAGTAAATCTCCCTTCTGGGATGGAATTTTTGATCTTGGTCGTTCTGGGCATCGGTGGTATTAGTGGAGACACGTAAATACTAGTGGCTCTTTTTGGACCATAGTAATGTAGTGAAAACCATGACTTGTAGAATTAAAACTGTTGTTACTTGTCTCAAATCTAAAAGAGATTTTGTTTTCAAAGTGGATAAAGTGCATTTCATAGTTCTGAGCTCTCAGAAGTATAGTTTTTCTCAGTTAAATAAGAATTTTGGAAACCTCTTTCGTATAATAGGGTGCAGCAAGAGTCGTCTTAAAATTATCATGGTTGGGGGAAATTTAATTTCAATTTAAGCAGATTTCAACTCCACTGTATTTCTTGCTAATAGCTATATGATAATTAGAGGGTGCTTTTTTTAACATATCAAAAATTTTAATTAGTTTGAATATTGAGCCTTGGTGGTTTGTTTGGGTTTTTCGTTTTAGTTTTTTGTTGTTATTTTGGTTTGGGGTTTTTTTGTTGTTGTGTTTGGGTTTTTTGAGTATCCTTTGAAATGCAAAGAGTGTATATTTAGGATCCTTCATACATTCAGTTTTTTTCAGATGAAATTACTATTAAATAAAACGTTCTTAGCGTGATCTGTAGATAACAATTTAATCTATATTGTGTGATGGTTGTTTTGCTGCCCAATACTTATTTTCTCAATTGCTTCTACTTACAGGTTCTGCTTTTTGCAAACCTTCTGCTGAATTCATTAGTTTGCTTGATGGCTTGCTTCAAAAGGATCCTCAGAAAAGGTAAACGATCTAATCCATGACAGTTGTTTACATCATTACTTTTTTCACCTCTGGAAAAAAATCATTGTTGATAGTATATGTATAGTAATTTGTAGAGCACAAAGAATACAAAAATCATTTAATCCCTCATGAAAGAACAAATTGTGCTTTTTCTTACATGAAGATATACAGAATTAATGTTTTGATCAAGTATATCTTTGTATTTTTGTAGCTGGTGCCAAATAGATAACATTGCAACAGAAATGATGGGTAGTTTTAAAAGTGGATGGCTTTGCTTTTCCAGAGCAATCTATTTTACAAAGCTTTGATTTGTAGCTGATATATTTTTAAAAATGTAAGAGTATCAGTTACAGGGTAGCTCAGAAAATTTAAATGTTGGGTTGGGATTGGCTATGCAGTTTCCTTCATTCTTAGTCTCATACCTCTGTGTTGTGTGAATTATCCATTCTGATTTGAGGCAAAAAGTTTGTCCTGTAAGAAAACATATTTGTTGACCAAATAAAAGTGAACAAAAGGATTAATTGCTCTGTAGGTTCAAAACTGGGTTCAAAACCTAGTCTGGTATCTCTCTGTGGAGCTGTACTTTGCCACTGCTTTTTCAGTTTGTTTGTTGATTTTCAAAAGGCTGAATTGGACAGACCTATTGCAGCATCCTTTCTGGAAAGGATCCCTTAGCCATTGTGGTGGTTATTCTGCAGACAGCCAGGCCACAAGCTCAAGGTATTGAATGTTCAAGGACAACTTCTTGTATAGTAAATCTAAGCGAGCAAATATTTATATATTTCTATTATGGTTTTCTGTGAATTTTCCCACTTTTGAGTTTTGCTTAGGATTTTCATGTTGTTAACTAATTGATGAATGGAGTTTTACACCATTCAGTGACCAGTTCTGGATGTTCAGGAATGATCCTCTTTGTGTATTACACTGTCTGTTTGCTTTCAATAGCCTCCTTCCTCTTGGCTATAGAATGTGTTAAATTTTACTTCTGAACCAACTGCTCTCATTTTTATTTACTTGTTTATATAACAATGATGCACAGTAATTTGACTTCTTTTAAAAGCTTTTGTAGAATCTTAAAATTGACCCATATTTATATCTCCACTGAGGTTTTTTTGTTTGTTTTTATGCATTAGGCTTAGAGCATCACAAAGCCTATCAGTACAGCATCTTAGATTTGTGGTTCAGCCTTATATCCTTGCAAATGCAGCTGACCCATATTCTTTGCTTATGACATAAAGCATTAATCCAAGGGGTTTTTCTTCTCTATTTGTAATATTCTACACTGCTTTGTATGCAGAAAAACCCAAACCTTCTGTGAATAATAGGTTCTGTCTATATAAGTGTTAGGCTTCTTCAAAACTTCTGTTACCTTGCTGGTTTTTTATTTTAATTTTGACTTAAAGTTATTTAGTGTTGATTTTTCTGTTATTTTGTTCTAAATATTTGAAAGACACTTTAGGTTCCAATCTAGGGAGCTAGCGTGAAAATAGTTTTCTTTTAGAATGCTGAATGTCCTCATGTTCTATTTTAAAATTCTCTCTTGTGTTGTTTAATACCTATTTCTGATACCAGTGCTGCAGTATTTTATTGACAAGAAATCAAGATTTAAAGTTTATACCACAACGTAAGAATTTATTCAAGGTCTTAAGAAGACTTATGTCAGCCTGCACCAAAGTGCTTATCCTTGAGGAATTCTCAGAGAATCAGAAGAATTTTAACCTCCTATGAAATATTGGGCTATTTATATTTACTCTTGAGTGTTTTCTAATGCCTTTGAAATATAGCTGACTTATGCACTAATTGACAAATATGACAAACTTAGGAGATGGGCTTGACATGCAAAAGAAGCTCAGTACTTTTTCTTTTCCAACTGTGGCCCATCTTCACAGTGTGGGTTTGATTAATATGTGATATCCCAGAGACCCTTCAGAAAGGTTATGTGACCCAGTTCAATGTGAATAATAGAGGGGTATGTTAAAAAAACCCAATCAACCCGAATCAATAAACTTGTAAATCATTAAGGAAAAAAAAAAGGTAGTTTTTATTGATCTAAATTTAGGCTTACAGGGTTCATTATAAGAAGTATGTTTGTTGTGACTTTTTCTTGTGAAGATTGAATGGTCTCTAAAACTTTTAATATTTCTGTATAGCTCTGGTATTATGGAGTAATAATTTAGCTTTTGTAGTTTCTCTCATGCAAGTTCTACTGAGGAAGCTGGAGAATTTTTAATACTCTCCAAGTAATTTGCTGTAAACCTATTTTTCATCATTGCCATTACTAATATAAAAAGTATGTGTAGCACATATTACAATAGTATGCTGATCTAGAGAATGACAGCTAAATCGTATGCTAATAATTGAATGAATAATGGATATGATCAATTTTATTTATTTATTTTAACCTGTGTAATTAATATCTTTTATTAAACAGCAGTGAAGACACAGTCTCATCTGTGTCTTGGAGTGCCAAAGAGCCAGTGGATACTCATAAAAATCTAGATAACCTGTTATCCTCAGGAGCAAATAATAAGCTACCAAGCAATTCTTTCAAAATAGGTAATATTACTCATTACATTATTTTGAATTATTTTATGTCCTGTGAATTTTGTCAATATAACTAACATGGTTATTCTCTATGTTTTATTTATTTTTTAACTTCTAAATGCAAGTTCATGTTTTCTTTTTGGTAGAAACTCAGACTGAATTGCGCCCCAAAAATGCAGTTGATGGTGAATCAAATGAATCAATATTTCTTCTCAGGTATGGAAACATAAAGAACAATTAGACAACCCTTGAAACCCTTTTTTTGTTTGGCGATTTTTTTTTCCCCCATCTCTTCAGACATTTCATTGTTCTGTTTGTAACATTTTGTTAGTGTGTCTCCTTTTGAATTTTCTGTCACCAGTTTAATTAATATTAAGACACCTTTGAAGAGCTGCTAAAGCAGTGTGTGCAGTTAAAGCAATGGTTTTATGGCTTTATTACACTCGGTTTTGGAAGTAGGCGTTTGATTTCTTAGCTATCTGTCTAAACAAGAATTTAGAACTTTCCTTCTTACTTCATATACATGAGAATATGCTTTGAATATCCTTACTTTAAATACACAAGAATAAGCATTCAGCTCATGATCCATTAATAAATTCTGCCTGCAGCTTTTCATCACAAGCTATTGGTAACAATCTACTAAGTACTACGTAGGTATTAAATAAAAAATAGTGATTGGTTTAACAGTGATTTGTTTTAGTTGAGGCCTGATTCTGAAACTTCATACCGTCTTTCAAGCCAAGAAGATTATCTAGTAAAATAGATTTTGTTCTTGTCCTCATCAAGCAGAAATATTCCAGTTTAAAATTAAATACACTTTCAAGCTTCTTGCGTAACCTGACATAGTGCTATTGTACATGATACTGTGTCTACTTTTCCAGTTATTTCAGTTGGATTTAATAAAGCATTCCTTCTCATCTCACAACTTCTACCATCACAGCTAAAACAGTGCTATTAGTAATTTAAATTGGCATTTGCTGTTTGCCTTAGGAATCTGCTGAGAAGAAAGGCTGCATGGCATTACAAACACTTGGTACAGCAACATGTAATGCAAATTATGACAGGAATGAGAGTAGAAAAAAATGTATTTTTAGGAACAACATTTATTTACAATAAGTACATTTATTTTAATACAGAATTTGAAATACAATACAGAGGTGTGGGTTTTTTTTAATTTGTTCTTTTCTGAAATTTTCTTTGCTTGAATGGTTTAATTTCTCAAAGCAGCATGTGTTACCTGCTGAAGTTTTAAAACATTAAAGTGGAAGGAAGCTGCCCACTTGGGCAGCTTGGCACCAGAATTTACTTAGCTGCTGAAGTGGTTAATCGGCTTTTGACAGCAGTAGCTTCTTCTACATGTACAAATGGAATAGATCTTACTAATTTCAACTAGCTCAATTCAATGATCACTTGTCTTCTTTTAAGCTGAGAAACCAGCTGAGAACTGGAAAAGTAGAAAAGATTTTCTGTCTCTCACACACATACGAAAGCAAATTAGGTTTGGGAAAAATATATTTAACAAATCTGCATGTTTTGATGCATGTGGGAACCTAGAATAATTTGTTTAGCCTCTTAGCTAGAAATCTTACTTTTTTTGATTTAGGAAATAAGACTGCTTAAACTTCCAAACAGATCCTGATATATTTTTTACTGTAGGAAATAGAACATTACATGTAGTTTTATCTAGCTAGTAGAGAATATTTTGGCACACCTTCATTGTGCCTTTTAAATTTGTTTCTGATGAAAATACATAAAAGATGCCGTTTCAACAAAGTAAGGGTAAGAATAGGAACTACTATGTTAGTCATTTGATCACTGATTTTCATGAGTATCTTTAATTTTGTTTGGTTTAATTTTTAATTTAGTTGCTTTTTTCTATTAAATAAAGCTGATTTGCAGCTAAATGTGTCCATTACTTTCTACTAATCAAGAAAATACATTCATTTGAAGTTGTTGATTAAATTAGTTTCCTGGCCTGCCAATTTTAATAATTCTAGAGTTGATTTTAAACACTTTGATTTAAATTAATGTAAACTACAAAAATAAGTTCACTAGTAGCTTTATGAAAAATATAAATTTGCAGTGTTCTGGTCTCTCCTTTCTTCATTTTCTAATTAGCAAATGAAATTTTTTTAAAAAGAAAAACTGAAGAGTAAATGCAGTTTACATTCATACACAAGAGTCAGGCAGCTTTTAATTCCCATTACTTAGCCAAGAGTTGGCAGTCAGAAGAGGATAACATGAACTAAATTGCAGGTTTTTGTCTAGTTAATTCTCTTCCTGTGTTGTTTGTAATTAGGAATTAAGATAATCATGTTTCAGCATCCAGTTTGGAGAACTGACTATGGGTGAGAAAACAATCAAATTACTTCCATTTAACCAAAAAAAAAAAAAAAACCAACGACAAAGAAACTTCCCAGTCTTTCCCATTTCTAACTGAAACAAATCCTAATCTCGTCAGGACATATTTAGAGACAGGAAGTTCATGTTTAATTGATGGAGCAGGCACAGCATCATTTCTGTTTGTCAGCTTTGGAAGTTTACTGTATGGCATGAAAGTTTCAAAAGAACAATAAAAAAGTAGCTTGCAGTGAAATTTAATCTGTACTCCTTGTTGGGCTTTTTTAAATTATTTTTTTTCTTTCTTGTTTAAGTTCTCGTCCCACTCCTAGAACTAGCACTGCGGTAGAAGTAAGTGATGCTACTACTGCCCTAACCCAAAATTCTCCACAAAGAGATTCATGCTTGAAAAAGGTGAGTATAAAAATAATATTAAGGGATGGTGGTACCTTTATAATTAGAATTTTAGCCTGGAGTCTGTGGCAAAGTCAATGTTCTTCTCCATCCTTCCGTAATTATAACAGGAAAGCAGTTCCTACAGTGTGCAAGTTATTTTAAAGAAAATATTTGCAGAACTTCAGATGTAAGACTTAAGCAAGATGCTTAGTCTCCTTTTTTTCTTCCAGTGTATAAAAGGGATAATGCTATCTTCTTTCTTCTCAGTCTAATTTTTTAAACTTCGTTTGCAAGTTTTCCAACATGGTTCTTGTAATTTTTGGTTGGCCCTATCTGCTACTACATAAGAAAAAGTAATTTAGGATGTGTTGTTTATATGGCCAAACTGGGTGGTATAATGTTGAAATGAAATATTTTGGGAATAAATATAAACTTTCTTTTTTTTGTGCAAAATGTTTTTTTAAAAAAACTTTGTTCTTGTTCTAGGCTAAAAATATGTGCTCAAGTCGGCAGGATATGGAGTCAACATTGAAAGAGCTCATTTACACTGAATCTGATCTTATCATAACACCAATCATTGACAATCCAAAGGTATAGCAAAATAAAATATAAGATTCAGGAACTTGTGGGTGAAGCTATTTTTGCAGATAAATCTTTAATCAGGGTGAAACTTCTTTCTTGTATTTTATAATTCTCATTTTAAAGCAGTTCCACCCAGTCATCTGGCAAGCTTTCATGCAATTTTTTGGCAGTCTTTTATAATGCTATTGTGTTGCTAACTTGGAGAACTGAGTTATTTTGGGATTGAATACTAATATTAAATAACGTCTTACAAGAAATAGAAACCGCTAAATATTGTGTTCAGTGCTTTTGTAGATTTGATTTCTGATAACTTGCTTTGATATCTATTACTTAAATGAACACAAAACTGAGTGTGTTTTGGTATACTCAAAACAAGGCCATCTATGAAGACTTCTAGGTTAGGAGTACACCTTTACAGAATAACTAAACTTTAGACATTATAATCTTTCTAATAAATATGAACTTATTTTCTCTGGAAAAGAAGACCTGAAGTTACAAGAAATATCCATCCAACTTCTGTCATATGGATTCTAATGTGGTAACAGTTTGTGACAAGTCCCTTGAGCAGAGACTGACACTTGCTTGACAGCAAAAGGAAGACCAAAAAAGAATCAGAGCTTTGCACTGCAGTGACAATGTAATGTGCATGTATGGACATGTGTAGTATTGGTAAAAGGAGTGATAGGCAAGTGCCCCCTTAGTCTTCCTTTTATTTCTGTGCAAATTAACGAAGTCTTTTTAGCAACTTTACTCAGTAAGTGGCAGATTCAGGGAATGCAACATTTCTCATTGGAAATGAGCATCTAGCTCATTAAGAATGTCTTACAGCTTTTAGTTGCTGTATTGCTTTAGTATAACAAACTTTTTGTTTGTTTTTATGGAATTCCTAACACTCTCAAAAAAATAAAAATCTTACACAGCTAGATAATGTAACTACCCAACAATACTGTTTTAATGTGTTTGGGTTGGGGGGCATTGTTGCCAGTGGAGAATTTCAAAGGTAATGATGCATTTGAATGCCACCTCTGTAAATTCTCAGTTCTGCCTCAGGACTCCGACACAAAGCCTTAGCCCTTCACTGCTTCACTTCTTACTACAAGTGTAAGAGATAAGACTGGGGGGAAGTGTACATACTAATGTGCACATGGAGACTAATCTCGTTACCATGCAGTGCTGGATTCGGAATTAGTGCAAAATAGCCTACTCAATTCCAGGGACATGTAATCAGAGTCATTGCATCCTTGGCAATCTTCAGACTAAAGGATGATACTGACACCTGGTAAAGCTGAAGAGCTTGCAATTTAATCTCCTGGAAAGGGATTTACTAGATGCTGGCAGAATTTTAAAAGATGAAATGTCAGCTTATATTGTAAAATTTCCCTGTGTTCTGCAGATCTGTGGAACTGAAGACCTTTTTTAAAAAATAACTCTATAGTTACACCTAGGCTTCATCTGCCAAAGGCTAAATTCCAGTATACGGTTATCTTTTTTTGTTTTTTTAGTTACTGAAAATCACACTCAAATGCTCAGTCACTGAGCAGTCATCCAATTTCACAAAGTACCAGAAAATGATGTCTTGTGGAGAAAAAACACCTATACCTTATGAATGATTAGTTGGTGATAATACTACTTTTTATATTCTAGAATGATCTAGTGTATATATATGTATTTACTGTATGGCAATGAATTGCTAAAACACTTGATGAGGTCTCAGCTGCATAGTGCCTTTCTGTAGCTTTTGAAACCAAATGCAAGTATTTTTTCCACATACAAGCAAGATAAAAATGTAAACTGAAAAAATCCTGTAATTTTGTATTGCCATTTAAAAAATCACTTAAATGGAAATACTAACAATTTAATTGTATTAAAAACATAGAGTTAAATCTCAGATATCTGCTTGGAGGAAATCAATACCAGAATACAAAGGAAAATGCCTCAGTAATGAGCAGTGATTTGTACACCCCTCCTGTACAGTTTTTGCATCTTTGTGTTTTCATGTTCAACTACTTAAAGATTTCCAGAAATGTATTAAAGCTAATTGTAATGTGTTTGTTTATTCTCCCAGATAATGAAGCAAGTGCCAGTTAGATTTGACTTGAAAACCTTACATATACCAACATATTCAGGTATGGATCTGCTGAAGTTGTTAAAACTTAACTTCTGCGTATGACGGTGCAACTCGCTATCACAAGACCTATACCCTCCCCTTGTAGATGATGAGCTGTCACAGTTGGAGAACTCATCACTTTTCTGAAACTGAAGTTTCATATGTAATGTTTTTAGCTAGACTAATTTTGAGTAGGCTTTTCAAGTGCCAAGAGTTATATGCCCTTCCTTTCTCTTCTGCCTTCTTCGTTTACAAGCCCATGCTCAAAAGCTTTTAAAATAAGACAGTCAACACTGTTTTAGTGTGGGAAACCCAGCATATTTTTCCCTGTGTTATTTTTTGTGAACAACTGAGGTATAACTGAAATATTCAGCCAAACAGATTAAAATTTGACAAAGGTAGAGAAGCAAATGAAAACAGAATCTTAAAATGTACAGCACTGATGAGCTGTAATACTAGGCAGACTTGCCAGTCCCACCTTTAATCACGAAATGTTATGGGAATCATGTCCCAGAAGATAGTGTGGAGTTGTTTGGGATTAGGTTTTTGTTGTTGTTTTTAATATCTAGAAAGGCTGCTGTTATTTCTGAAAACAAAAGGGTGCTCATTGTCATGACTGTAACGTTTCTTCCCCTGGAAAATTTCCTCTAGTCTGTTTAAGGAAGTATTATTAGACTTCACTGTGCTTGAAGAGGGATGTCAGCCAGATATATAGTCCTTCTAGAATTCACATAGCACCTCTCCCTAGGCATAAAAGTGCCTTTTTTTTTTTTTCTATAAAGTATGCATTTGGAGAGTTAGTTTGTTGAAGAAATTTTATAGTTGGAAAGGAACACAACATCCCCCAGTCTCCCAATCGAGTAGTAATAGAAAATATTTTTGATTTGGCTAACACCCTAGGCAAAAATGATCAGATTTAAATGCCTGAGGGGGTGGCATTTTATTTCATGTTGCATTTAAGTTGCGAAATTATCACACTGATGTTTAACTATTGTTTTCTGTATTAATATGGGACAGTGGTTTTTGTGGCTGTAACACTTTCAGGGTTGTAGCTTTTTTCTGGACAACTTTCTGATTGTTTTTGAAGATACTGAATTTGATGCTGTTTGTCAAGAATGATTTAAGACATTATGGGAAAAATTAAGATAAATACCTGAAATCCAAACCTCTCTTCACCTCTACTAATGTAGATTATAATTGCCTTCATTAGTAGGTGTTGTTACTTAAGTGTAAAATTGGAGTAAAAGACAGAAGACATGCTCTTAAATATTCTGTACTGGAGCATATCAGGATGGCAGATGAGTTATTTGTTAATAATTTTGATAAATAAAATTTGGGGTTGGACTAGATGATCTCCAGAGGTCCCTTCCAACCCCTGCTGTTCTGTGATTCTGTGAAATAACCAAGCAAAACTGTGGGAATGTATGGCTGCTAGAGTGAAGTTTTCCATTGAAACCAATAAAGAAGTCTTTGAAAATTCTCTGTTCGTGTACAGTGGTCAGTGAATTGAACCACAGGATTTATGTTAATTGTCCTAGTGACTTGACTTCTTTGTGTTCCTCCTGAAGTCATCTATGCTCTGATAGTACTAAAGCTTAACTAGATAGATACCTACCTATATGAATAACTATACACATTTTCAGTTTACTGATTCTGAAGGGATTTTGCTGATTTTTCATTAGGTTTTGCATCAAATTTAATGAGACTGCACTTTCTTATTAAGAATTAGTAATGATTAAGAACTACAAGTACTACCTTTCCTAAATATAATGCCAATAAATGTTTATTTAAATGAAGTCCAAGGACTTAGCAGGGTTGCACTTTCAAAAATGTTTTGACGCTTTTATTGCTACATTTTTATGCTTTGTTTCTCTTCTTGTTTCTTGATTTCTGTAATCTTCAGGCATGAATTATAACACGTTTGTTTATATTTTAAGTACTAGAATTATAATTAGATTCAAACTTTGGAACTTATTTATTCATGTTGATGTTACTTTGTAGTGTGTTAAAGCAACATCAAAGATCCATTATCTTTAACTGCTTGTTTGCATCTTATGGTTAGCTGAGAAGTTATCATCTATGAAAGACGTGGACTGGAATGACTTCTTGGAACGAGTATGGTCATTGCTTGATTCCACTGAGAAGAATACAGGAGCAGCACGTTCTAAACTGAACTTACTGTACTATCTGTGTACTGTGGCTGTGCACAAGGAGGTTGCAAGCAGGCTAATTAGCTCTAAGCTGGTAAATAATAAAGCTTTGATGGAATCAGCATGTTTTACATACTTGCCATTGTAGCAAAAATCAGCTGCTTTTAGTTACATTTAAAGAAATCATTGGTGTACTGCCCAAAATATGGCAAATTAAGTACAAAATAATGAAAAAAAAATCCTAAATTCGACGTAGTTGGTTTTTTTTTTTCTTTTTTAAAGAGCTGTGAGGGGAAACTAATTCTTTCTCTTAGATTTCAGATACATTTACACATAGATTTATTGTATTAGTAAAAAGGTTAGGGTAAAAACTAAACTTGATGTAGAGTGTGAAATAACATGAAATGTTAGTCTTCCTAAATCAAGAAGTGACAGAGTAAACTGAAAAAAGTTCATTTGAATTGTTAAATCAATTTTATTTGGTCCTATTTCTGTAAAGAATAGCAAGAAAAACTTTCTAAAGAACATTCAGTAAAACTTTCATTAAACACTGCTTCAAAGAGTGAGCAGACTCTGAAGAGTCTGTTTTACAGTATACTTAAATGGCACATTTCACCTTTCAACCATTTTCTACCAGACAAACAATTCTCCGTGGTAGTTTAGCATATTTCTCAGAGTACTGCATGTGCTGAAGAGAAATAGATTTATTTTTCCCATTATGTAAAAGCATCATAGGGGCTGTCCTGAGATGGACACCTCTCAGTTTATTTAATAAAAAGTAAATGATCTTGTTCTTCAACATTTATACTAATGCACCTAAGTCATATTCTGACACATCATTGTTGGATATAGAGGTATTAAGGGCAAAATTGCACTGCCAGAAAAGTTCAGAGAAAGACATTCAGGTTGGAAGCAATGGTAGGTTTTATGCCATAGGATTCTTGTGAAAACAGGAAACAGAATTGCTGGAAGGTGTATTCCATTATCGGTGGAGAATTGGGGGGGGGGGGGGACACAATAATCTGGTAACTGAATTACCAATTAACAGAACATTTTAGAAATGAGTTAGTAATTATGCAGTTTGGTTCTTAAGTGGCTGATTATGTGAGTTAACAGTCCGTTCATTATTCTAGTATTTGCCAATAATTTTTATCCATTCTCACAAAATAAATTTCATTTATTAAGTACTTGTTGGGTAATACTATATGATGATTTCTGTGCTTGTAGTTGAAAGTATCAGTTTTTTTCCTCTGCATAGTGTTATTCATAATGAAAAAATGGGTTTTTTTGACACACTATGTTTAGCAGTTTAGTTTAAGGCAAGAATATAGAAAGATACTGTATTTTTTTTCTCCCAGCCTTTTTTTTTTAATCAACGTTTGAACAATTTCTACAGTATTTGTCTATGATAATACTTTTTGCAAATTTTATCTAAATCCATTTTTATGAAATTACTGATATGTTGATTTTTTTGTTTGTCACTGGGACATATCAGATTACTGGAAATCACTAATGTTTATTTATCTTCTTTAAACTATAGTTTCCTATATTGATACAGCAGCTGCGTGCAGCCACCAACTGGGATATGTAAGTAACAATTATTTTAAATTCATTTTTTCAAATATGGAATTATTACTGAATTTTATAAGGAGGAGTATTTTTTGAGGAGTGTTTTAACCTGTCAGACTGCTGTGGTACCTGACTGGTAGTATGATGGTGTATATAACTGAATTTTTTCAGCATTGAATTCATATATTGCTATTTCACAGGACCAAAGATTATAGAAAATTTCAAAAATTTTATCTAGAGGGTATATGATTTAGTGTATCAGATAGTGTAAAATAAAATAACTGAATAAACCAACCCATACCGTAATAGTAGTAAAATAACTATAATGGTAGCTTTTTTAAAATGCCTGTCAGAAATACTTCAATGTGATAGTGCCCTCTGCTGTTTTTTTCATAAATGGTGATTTTGTTATTCCAGTTCTTTTCTTTAATGAAATGTTTAAAACTGATTTACTGATAGAGATTTAATATCTGTTTTGTCAGCTATACTGAAAAGTTTAAAATTATCTATAGGGTTTTTCTGTGTTATAAGAAAACTGAACATGACCACAACTGATTAGTAAGACTATAACCAACTAAAGAGTCTTCATTCTTCAGTGCTGAATGAAAGAAATGTCTTTATGCATGAATCTACTGCTAAATTGAGCTGAAATACTGAGCTAATTTGATGATACAAAGAAAATAGAAATAATAAGAAAATCTGAGCCCTGATATCACTTCAAAATATTTCCTGCCCTTAGCAATCTGTGTAAAATATAAACAAGTCATAATTGTGATATTTTTTAAATAGTTTTTCTGCACCTACAAAAAATTTATTTAATATGCAGACGTGCCAAAGTTGCTCGGCTGATTGGTTTACTGGCATTACACACATCTGAACTTGGAGAAAATGTACCTGTTTCTGAGGTAACATTTCTTTTTTGGGGGTGGGTGGGGTGTGTGTGTTATTGCTTTTACTGTATATATCAGAAACTTTCACAGCCTTTTTTTTTTTTTTTTTTGAACCCTGCTTTAGTTTTTCTCACATGTGTAAATGGGAATATAATTAATTCAATTAATTCAATGTATAAACTTCTGAGTTTATTCTGTGTAGTTGTGGTTCTGATGTGTACTAACCTGTGGCAGAACTACCCACCAATGATAAAACTCCAGCCTTTTTCTCTCCTTTAAATAGTCACTGTCATACTTCTTGTACGTATGTGTGTAACAAGAAGAAAGTGTTGACATATTTGGTTATCCTGAAATGTAATTATTGTAATTAGTATAAAAATAGTACAGTTGATTTTTAGAAATCCTTTTTTCCAAAAAGTAATTGAGGTGGGCCTAGTTTGAGGTTCCTCACAGTTGTTGAAGAATGTATGTAATGAAGGGCAAGTAATTTTCTTTGGAGAAGAATAATTTTTTTAATCCTTATTTCATTTTGCATGCTCAGCAGCTGATTTAAACAGAAGACTGATTAGACAAAGTGATCTTATTGTCCTTTTTTGCATGTGACATATGCACACAAATTGTGTAAACTTCGCAGAATCTGCTATTTAATATCTGTTTAAAGTGTGAATGTGACGTTATTTCTACTTCACAAGGTGAAGTCACAATTTGAATGCAATGGGTGTTTGAATGTGAGAAACAACTGCTAAACATATGTAGCAAATAAGCTTCCATACTGTGCAGATCTGATGTGTATGAACAGGTAGTTATTGGTTAATAGCTGACCTTTTTTGCCAGTGCAGTTAAGGATTTTTTGTTGGTGTTGTTCTAGGTCCCCTCTGTTTTTTTCTTAATGAGTATTAAGAATGACTATAATTGTCTTGCTATGTTGCTTAACATTTCGATTCTGTAGTGAAAGCTGAACTCAAAACATTGTTATTATCTAGGGCTTTTTGTTTGTTTTATAAAGTTACAAAGTGGGGAAATAGGCCTTATGGTTACAGTCACTGAAGTTTGGTCAAAGTCTTTCAATATTGACAGTTGCATGTCAATTGAATTCCAGGTCACAATTAAAGTGCGCTCTTGTATGTGGCAGATTTTTCTCATATTTAACTTTTAAAAGTTCCATAGAAAATACTCAAAAATAGTTTTGAGATGTCCATATAAATTTTGGCTTTAGATGTTTGTTTAGGTGTTTAGCACTAATATACTCAGCAATAGTTTCCCTAGCTTCACAGTTTCTGTCATAGAAAATACTTATCCTACTCTGTTTTGTATATGAAAAAGCAATAGATTGAAGTAGTTATACATTGAGCTATAATATTAATTTTGTTCAAAATGTTTCAATTTTTTTTTTAAAAATATGAACATAAGAATACTTCACAGATGGAATTTACAATTTTTAGAAATATGCATATACTTCAAAAAACAAGTTAAGTCTGAGACCAGTGACATTTAAAGTGAAGGACTAGAAAGGAAAATTTAATTTTCATTATCACTTTCTGGTCCCATTCTTATGTGAATTAAAATTAATTCTGATATGTATTAATTGGGAGAATAAGGATTTATATTTTAAATTAACAGAGCTGAGTTATAATACTGTTCAGAGGACATCTACTGTGCTTGCTTCATTCCAAGTTTTTTCTGCCAAAGTAATATCTCTGAATCTGAAAAATATTTTAGAATGCTTACGCAAAATCAGAATGAGGAAAGAAAATTGAATCCTAATATTTTCATGTCTTCAAATTTATTTCTGCATATGTAATCTAAAATCAGATAATTGTAGGCAGTACACAAAAGTTGATAGTTCATTTATAGGAAAAGTAGGAAGGAGTAATTTAGGAATTTCTGACCTGCAGAATTGTATTATCCTCTGCTCCCCCCAAGGGAACTAGATGAACCTGTGAGTTTGCTGAACATTCTTGTGGACTGTCAGCTGTCATATGTTGTGTGATGCTTTAAAAAAGACACAAACCAGACCTTTAAACCAACATTATATACTGTATTAAAATATAATACTTTAATTTATCCTTTTCTATTAGCCAGCTGCTGCTTCAGCTGAAGTTTCTTGGTGGCTGCTGTGATTTAGGAAATGTCAAAATCGCAGAATCACACACAGAATCACAGAATGGCAAGGGTTGGAAGGGACCTCCAGACATCATCTAGTCCAACCCTCCTGCTAAAGCAGGTTCACCTAGAGCATGTTACACAGTAGCTAGTCAGAACAACATAATCTGAAATGACTCTCTGTGACCCAGGTCTCACAGGCTAAATATGAGTGATCTATTGGTAGTTTTTTCTCTATGTTTCTATGTTCTTCCCTCCTCCATTCCTAGTATCTTATAATACTGTTTCCTTTTTTGACCCGTTAGACAGAGGTGATGTCTCTGCAGAACTATCTCCTATAGCCCCAAAATTTTGTTACCAAGTGTGAAAAGTCAGTTCAGAGCTCATGAAGATGCAATTCTGGAATTAATTTTGCCCCCTGTGTGTACCATTCTTTCCAATTTTTATCACTCGGTCACAGCCCCTTTGCAGTTCTCTGTTACCTCATTATGTGCTCATCCAGTTATTTGTGATTTCTTTTATACTTTTAAACTACCACAGGACCTAACAGAGACTCATGCAGGACACCACTGCTGGCCCTTACATGTTAAAATCTGGCTCTTCATTTCTACCCCCTGCTGTCTTTTACCCAGGTATACATTTGTTTAAGGATAGTTCCTCCATCTTTGAGGTTGAATCTGCACCATTAACCTTTTTGTTGTTGTTGTTTAAACGATTTGTTAAATAGTAATAACATTAAGTCCTGAAGAAGCAGAAAGACTTTAGGAAATAAAAGAAGCCTCATCCCTATTTTACAGGCTGAAGTAAACTTTCCCATCCTGTGTGCCAAAAGCCTTTAATTTGTTGGGTTTTGAAGAATTAATGGTTTTCCCAGTTTTTAATTTACTTGTTTTTTAAAGAAGTTCTTATTCAGGCATTTGGTGATCAGCCATTTGTTTCAAATGTAACCACCAGAGGTCACTAAAATGCAAAATTAAAATGCAAGTAAACTACTATTTCACAGACTCGACAAAGATGTAACTGTGGAACTGTGTATGGTCTTTATTCTGTTGATATATTCCAATATGTAGGTTATATTAGAAGAAAGTCATAATAAATTAATATTTGTATCTGTGAGTTCACTGGCAGTTGATCTATTTCCAGTTAAATATTTTTTAGAAGAATATTGCATTGATTAGAAAGAATGAGACTGATCTTAGAATACAATGGAAAAATTGATCTCTTGTATATTTTTCTTCAAATCACATTCTGATATTGAAGATGAAGATATTTTATGTGTAACTTCTTATATCTGGCAGTTGTAGTAAAAGTTGTTGATAGGTCATGGGGTTTTTTTCTTAGTAATGTGGGTTTTTTTCCCATGGAATTGCCCTTTACAAATCTGAAACATCATTTCCTCTTATTTATTTGTAGTTATCTTAGGAAAACACCTAACTGTTAAATTTTTATCTTTGTATTTAGGTTGTTAAGGAACTAGATTCTAAGAAAAAGAGATTCTTTCTTTCCAGGATTCATGGAAAGAAAAATCTGCTTATTCTTCATCTTACAGAAAGAAAATTTCTTCCCAAAATAGGGAGGCCTGCTTCCATGTATGTCTAATTTGTCTTATTTATTAGAATAATAGTATTGTTCTTTCCTCTCTGTGACAAGATCAGGCCTTCTGTCATCTATGACACAGCCACTGTGAAATTTCAGACTCAGTCTTTTATTTTCATAAGAGGCGATAGAGCAACTTCACAGAATGCCTCCATGCTGGGGAGCAGTGTCCTTCGCTGTCTGGTAGGAGACCAGCCTCCTCCACCTATTGACTCACTCTCTGCTTGTCCTTTTGGAGGCAAAAATCTAGTCCTTTTCCTTACCTCTTTTAAATTTGCTAATTGTGAATACCAGTCTCACTGTGACCTAAGCAGTTGTGCCTGTTTTTCTACAGACCTGGGTCCACTGCTCTACTATTTAAAGGGCTCAGAGAACCTGCTACAGCCCTCACACTGCAAGTTTCTTTGCAAAGCCTTTGGATTATGGAATTCCATGGCCAAATTAAGAAACTAAATATCCCATGGAGAATGACAGCATATTTGAATATCTTTGTAATACTGAAATTAGAGTGTGATTCCTTTGTCAAAGCAATGGAATATTCTGATTTCTGTTTTCATCCGGATTGAAACTCTGTGTAATTTGAGCCTTTTTATTTCTGATTTTTTGAAGTACAATTTGGTGGTTGCTTTCTAACGTTGCAAAGCAGCTGCAGTTTTATGACCTGTAAGCTCATATGTAAACTCTAGCTAGTCTGATTGTATCTACTTCGGTCTAGGTCTACAGTTTGTTGTCATTCGAATTCTTACAGAATGCCACTTTTCAGCCATGCTCCTATCTTACTGCTCTGATAACTCCTGTTTCTAGGTCTATCCACATCTGCCCATATTGTAAGCAGATTCAAATAAAAATGGTTGCAGGATTAAATCACTTAAAATTACCAAAATTATGGTATCAAACTTGGAATGGCTATCTGTGTGTAGTAAATCAGAATATGGCATGGACTATTGAAGCGTGCATCCTCATCTTTTTTGTACTCCTCTTCCACAGAAGGCATCTTACAAATGTCAGCATGTTCAACGTTAAAAAATTCCACAGCCAATAAATCTTTCTGTGTGCATTCCTTTTCTCTGTCATTCATTCACCTGTCCTGCATTTAATTCAATTACTAGGACTAGATGGAGAAGTGAGCGCTCATTCTTCTTTAAAAAATAAATGTGTATGCCTATTAGTGTAATCAGCCATATTCAAAATCAGAGTGGTCTTAGATTGACACCCTACTTTTTAAATTTTACTGTATTAAAAATATCTATTTTTTTTCAGGAAAAAATAATTTGAATTAAAAAAGAAATTGTGTTCTTATTTGGGGGAATGCTGAA